CGTGAACTGGGCTTGGTGGTGTGCCTGTAGTCCTAGCTACTTGGGAGGTGGAAGTAGGAGGATCACTTGAGCCCAGGAGTTTGAGGTTACAGTGACCATGCCAGTGCACTCCAGACTGGGCAACAAAGAGATACCCTGTCTCATATATGTCAGCCCAGCAAATTACCCTCCAGAAAGGCTACACCAGTGTCCACAGCAGGTAGTTTAGGAAAAACTCTGCTCCCCCTTGTCAATGCTGAGGGAAGGTTGTTTTGCCAGTTTGATAAATGACAGTTTTAAGTGTAACTGCCAAGATCTGTTTTAGCAAGTTAACTGTGATGGCACTCACATCCCATTTACAGTTCCACAACCCCAGAAGACAAATCCACATGCCCTGCCCAGCAAGTGGCTGAGGCTCTTCTATCACCCCTGGACCCATGAATCTGTCAGTTTTTGCAGTGTACAAATCACCCCAAAACCTAGTGGTCTAAAACAACATCCACTGATTTGTCCATAATTATGGGAGCTGGGAATTTAAGTTGGGGTCAGCTGAGTTAGCTCATCTCAGCTCCATGTGGTGTTGTCAAGGTTTGGTGACTTGTGGTCAGCTGGCAATCAATGGCCTCACATGTTGGGTAGATGATTGCTGTGTGGAAGGTCAGCTAGTTTGGGCTGCTGTAACAAATTACCACAGAATGAGTGGTTTAGACAACAAGTATTTCTTTTTTTTTTTAATTGGAGTCTCACTCAGGCACCCAGACTGGAGTGCAGTGGCCGTTCCTGGCCACCACAGCCTCGACCTGCTGGGTTCCGGCGATCCTTCCGCCTCAGCCTTCCAAGTAGCTGGAACTACAGCTGCGTGCTACCACGCCCAGCTAAACAAATATTTCTTATAGTTCTGGAGCCTGAAAGTCTGATGTCAGGGTGACAGCATAGTTGGGTTCTTGGTGAAGGTTGGCTTCCCGGTGAACAGTCATCTTCTTGCTGTGTCTTCACATGGTGGAGAAAAGAGTGCTAGCTCTCTAGCCTTTTCTTTTCTTTTTTTTTTAAATATAGCTTATCTAAAAGTAAATTAGGCTGGGTTAAGTGGCTCAGCCTGTAATCCCAGGACTTTGGGAGGTTAAGGTGAGTAGATTGCCTGAGCCTGCCGGTTCAAGACCAACCCGGGCAACTTAGCGAGACATTGTCTCTATAATAAAAAATCACAAAAAATTAGCCGGATGTGGTAGCGTGCACCTGTAGTTCGGCTACTTGGAAGGCTAAGGCAGAAGGATGACTGAAGCCCAGCAAGTTGACTCTGGGGTGGCCGTTAGTATGCCACTGCACTCCAGCCTGGGTGACAGAGTGAGTCTCCAACTCAAAAATAAACAAACAAACAAATAAATAAGAGAGAAAAAGAGAAGGGAGAGAGAAGATTCTCCTCCCCAAGGTGGGGGAGGCGGCCAAAGCCAGGAAACATGACGAAAGTCCTAACTCAAATAGCATGTGGCCACACCGAGTCTAGCAAGGCAATGGCCTGGCCTCTTCTTATAGCATTAATCCCATGATTAGTCAGAGTTCTCATGACCTAATCACCCCCCAAAGTCCCCACAACCTGATACCATCACATTAGGGGTTAGGATTTCAGTATGTGAATTTGGATGGAGGTTAGGGAGGGGGCACATTTTGTCAGTAACACTGGGCAAGTGCTGGTCTTCCAGCCAGCCTTGGCTCATTCAGTGGTTGCAGGAGTCTCAAGAGAAGCAAGATAGGGCTAGTCCAATGCACAAGTGCATTTCAAGACTCCTGGTAGGGTCAAGACTCATTCTTGGAGCCCGTCCATAGTCACCCATGTCCTGGCACTTAGGGCACCCTTGAGCCTGTTTCCTAGCCTATTTCCTGGCTGCCTTGTGGAGAATGCCTGGAAGGAGAGAGGCAGAAACTCCAGCTAGTGGTTCATCTAGGAAAGAGGCAGTGGGCGGGGTGTGGGGGGGGATTAGGAGGGAGGATAGACAGGACTGGGTGGTGCTTGGAATAGGTCAGCAGGAAGGAAAGATAGATAGTTCTGGAGAGATTCCACCTCTACCCGAAGTCATCTGGGCTGGGAGGGACTCTGAACTGGGGCTCCTGTGACCTAAGTTGGCCTGCTCTACTGCCTGGAATTCTCAGCTTCTACCTGTCCTTCTGCTCTGGGACTGGACCCTCTCCAGCCAGCATGCTGCTTTTGCTGCCACCACCAAAGGGGGAACTTTTACAGTGCCTGTCATTGTATGTTAAGTGGAATAACATTTGCCCCCTGATGAGAGTTTCGGGTGCTGACTTCAGGAACAGGAAAGAGGCAGACTGGGAGGGCAGCTGTGAGCAGGTGCTTCCTCAGAGGCACAATGCATGTGATTCCTTTGCACCATTGTTGTCATTTGTTTTACTTCTATATCTGTTATAAACTCTGATACCTTTTTATTATTTTTGCTGCAGATATTTAATTGTTTTAAAGAAAAATAAGAAATGAAATAAATTTATATTTACTAACATGTCCCATGTCCTGTACCCTATCTTCCTGTAGATCTGAATTTCTATATTGTATCATCTTCAACCTGAAAATTTTCCATTAACATTCCTCATTGTGCAAGTCTGTGGTGGACACGCTCTGTCCATATTTTTTCATTGTACTAAGATATATGCAATATAAAAGTTGTCATTTTAGCCATTTTAACGTGCACGATTCAGTGGCATTAATTACAATCACAGTGGTGATGCACCACCACTATTTCCAAAATGTTTTCATCACTCCAAAAACAAACTCTGTACCTGTTAAACAATAATTCCCCGTTCCTCCTCCCTGAGGCCCCTGGTAACCTCTACCCTACCTTCTGTCTCCAGGAATTTACCTGCTCTAGATATTTCATGGATAGACTCATACAATATTTGTCCTTTTGTGACTGGCTTATTTTACTTAGCATAATATTTTCAAGGTTCATCCATGGTGGAGCATATGTCAGAACTTAGTGTCTTTTAAAGGCTGAATAATATTTCATTATATATACCACATTTTGTTCATTCATCTATGGATGGACATAGGTTGTTTCCACCTTTTGGCTATTGTGAATAATGCTACAGTGAACGAGGGGTACAAATATCTGTTTGAGTCCCTGATTTCAATTCTTTTGGGTAAATACCCAGAAGTGGGATGGCTGTATCATATGGTAACTCTACTTTTAACTTTTTAAGGAACCTCCATATTGTTTTCTGCATTGCTGCATCATTTACATTTCCAACAACAATGCACAAGGGTTTACATGTGTTTCCACTGTTGACAAAAGATGCCAAAGTCTAAAATATTTAGGATGGTTTATTCTGAGCCAAATGTGAGTGATCTTAGGCTTATGGCATGGATCCCCAGAAGGTCCTGAGAACATGTGGCCATGTGGTTGACTTGTAGCTTGGTTATACACATTTTAGGAGGACAGAAGTTACAAGAAATCATAAATCAATACATGTAAGATTTACAGGTCCAGGACTGGGTATCTCTAAGAGGGGGCTTGCAGGTTATAGGTGGATTCAAAGATTTCCTGACTGGCAATTCGTTAACTAGAGTTATCTGAGGAAGTTTGAAGGCAGTAAAGGAAATGGGCAGCTTAAGGAATGATAAAGGAGTCAAGTTTCTTGATGTGTAGGTGAAGCTTTATAGGTGGCAGACTTCTGAGAAAGTAGGCGTCTTAAAAGGTGTTCAGAGGCCCCAAAAGACAGCTTTACACGGTCATAAAATATTTTGATTACCCTTCATCTGTTATTTGATGTTATGCCAGACCCAAGTTGGAAAGTATACCACATTAGTTAATAAAAAGCCTGTCTCTCCAGTGCCCTTAGTTAGGAATTTGGCAAGGTAAAGAAGGGGGTCAGTTTAGTCCTCACCAGTGACAAGGCAAAATCTTTCATGTTTTCAGAGGCTTTAACATATCTAGCAAGCCGGACTCGGTGGCTCAGCCTGTAATCCCGCGCCTTTGGGAGGCTGAGGTGAGTGGATTGCCTGAGCCCACGGGTTCGAGACCCGCCTGGGCAGCGAGACCTCATCTCTACAATAAATAAAAAAATCAGCCGGGCGTGGTAGCGCGCGCCTGTTATTCTGGCTACTCGGAAGGCTGAGGCGGAAGGATCGCCGGAG